AGGCCCAAAGCTGTTTGTTTCCGCAACGGCCCATGTGCTTTCCCTAAGTGGCTAAAGTTCGAGTTACACAGTGTTTGACTGAACTTTTAATCTTTTCTATTACCAAATGCCTTATAGGCTCATTGTTCGAAACTGTTCAAACTACCTATCTGAATTCGAACTGAGCAGTTTCTTTTAGGAGGTAAAATTGTTTTAAATATTTTAATCACTAGATTAGGTTCATGCCTGAATTCGAATTTAGATTATAATTCAACTAATCTGATATTTTCATCATTTGAACCAAATACGATGTTTTTTTAATACAAATGAATTGAACGCGTTAAGAACGTCATTAACTCATAAGCAATGAGGATCTTCTCCTTGATCATAATTGTTCGTTCCCGAGTATTCACAAAGACATTGTTTAAATTTTGTTTGTTTAGTGCTTACTTTTTCAATCCAGAAATAAGAATTTTTTTTTTTTTTCTTTCATCTTGTTGGACATATTTCAATCGCAGCTTTAAAGACAAATTATCTAACACTCCCATAAACAATTCAACTGATGCCAGTGAATGGATATATACTTATTTTCTATTAAAAACAAATTCAACAAATGATTTTTATTTTGTGATACTAAACAATTATGTCACTCGTGGCGTCATCCAAACAAAAACACTCTGTTTCACCATCCATCCGAGATTGAAAAGTTCACACAAATAATAGTGCGACTTATAAATACTATCTCCGTCCAAAAAAAATAATCCACATTAAATTTAAATTTTGTATTATTTTTAATATAAATTTGAATATTCAATATGAACTATTTTTTTTGGGGGACTGAGCTAGTACATCTCAAAACATTTGTGATTTCGGAATCGCACTAGCAGTCTATTGCTTAGTTTCAAGAATCGGGAGGTGTCTTCGTAGACGTGATTTTTACCACCCATGCAACTTATTTTACTCCCTTGTCCAAAAAAAAAAAAGTTACTCACGTTTTACTTTAAAATTTATATTTTTTACTCACTCAATTTTAATTTAACAAGGACATTCTTTTTAGGATTTTTTTTTTTTCAAAATTCAGTCCCAATTCAAACATTGATATTAAGTTCTTTATAATTCTCTAATACACCCTTACTACTATCACTGAAATTTAGAACATTTAATTGAATCAAACTCTTAATCTCACCAAATTAGCTAAGAACTACTAATTATTAATAACGACATGTTAGGTTAATTACTCGAAAAAAAACTAACAATTTAAATTATATTACCCACATTTTCTTAATTTTTGTGTTTATCTAAATGGGCTTACCAAATTTTTTTAAAAAAGAAATAAGTACTTGTATATTAATGAATAACAACATTAGTACAACTCATTCTATCATATGTTATGTAATTTCGAAACATACTGTCTAAGTACTGACTATTGGAATGGAAGAAGTAACATAAAACTTAAAATTTAATCTGGACTCCCTCTATTCTAATTTAATAGGTTAACTTTCCCTCGTGGGATGTTTCAAAATGTAGTCCCATTTCAGACATTAATATTAATTTTATTTATGAATTTTTTAATATAAACTTACTACTATTACTAAAATTTAGAACATTTAATTGAATCCAACCTCCAATCTCACCATGTTATAACTCGCAACCACTAGTTATTAATAGAGGTATATTAAATGAATTACTTAAAATTTAACTATTTAAACTATATTATCTATTCTTTATTAATCTTCTTATTTGTCTAAATGAACATATTGAAATGGAATGGAGGGAGTACTATTTTTTTTTAGGAGCAAAAGAGTAGTTTCATTTGCAATCCGTGTATGCATGCACCTTATAGCAATAGTTACGAGAACACATAAAAATGCGGAAATCCTTGTTAATATATGCCTACTTGGATTGTATGGAAAGGAAAAAGAAAAGTTGCCTACTTGTCGGTCAACCTACTGAAAGTAACGATAAAGGAGAAAAACTGCCTAGTTCATATAAATCTCAAACCATGTATCATTCCTTATTAATTTAGTTAGATAAGCAAAACACCAAAACATTAAATTTTACTTTTAAAATTTGGTATAAATTATTAATGCACAATCTTTGGTGTACTATATTTTCATTTTGATTTAAATACAGGTTTGCTATATGGTTAAACTTCTAAAAAGAATTATGTTGTAAAAGTTATATTATATTAAATGTCTTCTTGAGATCTTGACCCATTTGAATATAATTTTCAATCATTATTAGAAATGTATATGTAAAAAATTATAAAAAGTTCATATTTCTGGAATCAAATTACAAGAGTTCAAATTATACCAAATTAAGAAATGAATTATACCAAATTACAAGATTTTAATCAATCACTAAAATAAAATTCAAACTAAAATATTTTCGCTTTTAGACTTTTTGATACATTAAGGTTAGAGTGCCAAAAATTTTGATGTATATAGATGATCAGAATATTCTACTTTTACTCTAAATTTAGTGTAAATTATAGTATAGTAGTTAGTGATGCTCTTAGTACTATATTATTAGATAGTCATGGATAAAATCGTCACATTGATGTAAAATAATACATCAATTTATCCCAAAAAGAAATTTGTAACAATACATTATGCACAACTCTTTCGTTAGGACAGATGAAATATAAAATACTCTTTTTTTCAAAATGATTGTTCATGTTGGATTTTCGCTTTTAGTATATTTTTAATTAAAAATAAAAATCTTAACTGGACAATATTTTTCGAAATAGAAAGAATCATAGAATAATATTTTCAACATTCTGAGAGAGGTTCACCTAGATCGAATGTGGATTGCATATTTTAAATGTAATATTTTCCATTTAATTCCCGTCATGCCTTACAAAACGAAAAGCACAATAATAATTAATGTGATTAAGTACCATGAGCAATTAATATCGAAGCAATTGAATTTTTGCGTTAACTAAATAAATTTGAAAAGGAAGGCGAAGAAACAAAACATATTTAGGACATAACTAGAGGTAATTATTGTACTTACAAACTATATTGTCCTTCATAAAATAATACAATTCACAAAATAATTTTTTTTTTATAGAGAAAGTAATCTCAATATCTTCGGACGACTTTTTTTTTTACATAAAATTTTTAACAATCATCTAGATTATTGTATGACTGAGTCTGGATAAGGGGATCTATTATTAATATAGTCTAATGGGGACCGACTTTATGCCTACAACGCCTCTTTCTGCGCATCCATTGAGTGTTTAAAGATCTTTCAGTTGTAACCTGCAAATAAAAACAGCATTTTCTGATACCCTAAGATTTCAAACCCGGGATCATGCATTCCATGGACACCGATCACCATTCGATAAAGAAGGGTTATCAATTTTCCAATCTTGGAAGTTGGAATCATGCAATTTCAGATACAATCAAATAATCAGCTAATAAGAGTCATTATTATGTATATATTCCTCCTGTCCTTACCTTAATATAAAGTATTTATATTTGTCATAGGTTTAATTTAATACGTATTTTTAATTGATAAAAAAAATCTTAAAAATATTTAATAACAATCAAGAGAATACGACAAATATGAAAATATATTCTTACGATTTTTTTGTCAATTAAAAATGTGTTATTACGTTGTTTATATGGTAGATATGTTAATATTAAATCGTAAACATTGTAGTTACCATAGATAGGAATTCTGTACCTTAATTTTGAGAATATCTGTATCTTAATTTCGGGAGATGATCACTATTACGCTCCTTGTATTCTCGAAATTAAGGCACATAATCCCTTTGTATGATAACTACAATATTTACGATTTAATATTAACATATCTACAATGTATACACCGTAATATCTACCATATATACACCGTAATATGTGTATTAAGTGAAACCTAAGACAAATTAAAATGGTTTATATTAAGGATCGGAGGGAATATTTTCAATCTTGTATCTTTTATTTCTAACCGCAAGTAAGTCCATGTGAGTGCTGCTTATAAGACAAAAGATTTAATAAGAATTAGGTCAAATATTTTGAAATTCTTAGCTCTTTTACCAAAATTATCACCCCAAGTATAACTTTAAGTAACATTATTGATTTTGACGAGTTATTTTTGTCTTGATAAATAATATCCGGACGGTTAAAATATTCGAGAATAAAATTTGACTAAAGAAAGAAATAATAATAACTATCTAACAATTAATCATCCCATAATCTAATCAGGGGAAGCAACTATCCCATCAATTCCGATTACTACACAGTATGTACCAATGACTTGAATGCTGCTAAGTATGTAAAACGATTGTTATAGAATGTGAGCAGCCATGGGCATTTTTCTATATCTGAAATAAGCTTTTGCATGATACCAAAAAAAATTGTCCAAAGAAATGTAAGGATAAAACAAAACAAACAAATTTGATCCGACCTGGGAAAAAAAATAACTAATACTTGGAGGTCCCAATTAATATTTACATAGTAAATTTTAAGAAAAAAATTGCATATGATTGTTGCCTTAAATAAATAAGTTAATCTCGTGCATCCAACTTACGAGGGAAATTGGGCAAACATTTTTATTTCTAGTTCAATTCAAAATTACAAAAAATAAGTTTGATAGAAATCCAAAATAAATAAATAAGATGCACTTTGTTTTTGTTTAAAAAATTAATACTCTTTCCATCGTTTCAATATAATATTATAAAATGAATTATTTTTGTGCGGCGGAATAAAATGAATAGTACTCCCATTGTCCCAAAATTATCGTACAGTTTGAGATTTCACTTTTAGTACAATTTGAACTAGAAATAAAAACTCGAACTGGATAATTATAGGACGGAGGGAGTATATTATTACAATGTAGTAAATGTAAATTTCGGAACGAATACATATGCATGCAATTAAGCGTCTATATAAAGCTATGTACATTCTCGTAGGTTCTCAATTCTCATTCTTCTGTAATCCTCGTACGTTCTCCTTAAACTTCAAACACATTGTTTTTTTTCCCCAAACAAATACTATAACCAGCCCACAAAAACCATGCAAGTTCAACGTTACACTACTGCAGCACCACCGCTACCAAATCCCGCTAAACCCTATATTAGGTGCAAAATTATCATCAGCCCATCCAAAAAATCACTTCCCAAGAGGTTAATATCGGCGCCCGCGCCACCGCCACCACCGGTTCAACCATCGCCACCCCTGCCTCTGCCTAAAATTTGCCCTGAACCGGTAGTTATTCCACCTCCAAAACTGAACCGGCTTCAAAAACTCACAGCTAAGGCGTTAGATGTTGTGGAAAGCTCAATTATAAACGAGCTAGAAAAGAAACACACGCTGAACCGGACTGTTGACCCGGCGGTTCAACTCCAAGGGAACTTCGCTCCGGTCGAAGAATGCCCGGTTCAGCACGGGCTCGAGGTGGTGGGCAAAATCCCGCCTTGCTTAAACGGAGTCTACGTCCGGAACGGGGCCAACCCGTTTTTACCTCCGGTCAACGGCCACAACCTATTCGACGGCGACGGAATGATTCACGCCGTCACGTTACGGCCGGGGAATGACGTCAGCTATGCATGTCGCTTCACGCGGACAAACCGGTTAATCCAAGAAGCTGTGCTAGGAAAACCAGTTTTTCCCAAGCCAATCGGTGAGTTGCATGGCTTCTTGGGTTTGGCTCGGCTTGCTCTGTTCTCGGCTCGAGCTGCCATAGGCGTGGTGGACAGCTCACTGGGTACTGGCGTAGCCAATGCCGGCTTGGTTTATTTCAATGGGCGGCTCCTAGCCATGTCGGAGGATGATTTACCGTACCGTGTCCATATCACGGATGACGGCGATCTCGAGACAATCGGACGGTTCGATTTCAGTGGGGAACTTGATGATCCGGTGATTGCACATCCAAAACTGGACCCAGCCACAAGTGACCTTTATACGCTGAGCTACAACGTTGTAAAGAAGCCACACCTAAAATTCTTTAAGTTTGACAAATCGGGCCACATGTCACGTGTCGTTTCGATCACTCTAAAGCAGCCTACCATGATTCATGACTTTGCCGTCACGGAAAATCACGTGATCATTCCGGATCAACAAGTGGTATTCAAGTTATCCGAAATGATCCGAGGAGGGTCGCCCTTGGTGTATGACCCGAAGAAAATTTCCCGATTCGGCGTCTTGCCGAAAGATGCCATTGACGAATCAAGTATGAGATGGATTAATGTTCCCGAGTGTTTTTGTTTCCATTTATGGAACGCGTGGGAGGATCATAATGGAAATGGCGACAAAAAAATTGTGGTAATCGGGTCGCGTATAACTCCGGCAGATTTTATATTTAATGAGCGTGGCGATCAAATCAGGACCGAATTGATAGAAATCCGATTGAATATGTCAACGGGCGAATCAACCCAACGGGTCATTGTATCCGGGTTGAACCTAGAGGCAGGACAAGTAAACAAGAGGAAACTTGGCCGGAAAACAAGGTTTGCATATTTGGCTATAGCCGAGCCATGGCCTAAATGTAGTGGCATAGCAAAAGTTGATTTGGTCACTGGAGATGTGACAAAATTTATTTATGGAAACGAAAGATTTGGAGGCGAACCGTATTTTGTGCCCGGAAAAGAAGACGAGGAGGAAGATGAAGGATACATTATGAGTTTTGTAAGAGATGAAGGGAGAGGAGATTCTGAACTAGTGATAATTAAGGCCTCAAATATGAAGCAAGTTGCACTAGTTAAATTGCCCTCTAGAGTGCCTTATGGTTTTCATGGCACATTTGTTAATTCAGAAGAACTTTGCAAGCAAAAAACTTCTTGATGTCTACTTGTTCTTTTTCTAATGAAATGAAGCTAAAACATTTCGTCTACCATATTGTTCCCTTTACCATTTAATTTTCTCAAACATGTTAATTAATTTCTTGATTTCCATTGCCTATATATATGTTCTATATTTCATGGTCATAGTTTACAATGAAAGATTGATGAATCGTTTACACACATACATGGTGTTTTACCTTTTATGATTGTGATTTTTCTCTTGTTTTGGTTTTTTTCCCCTCAAAATATCACGTCATTTCTTGTCATCATATTTCTCCCTAGTATTTCAGTGAAAGTACATGCTACTTTGGGGACTGTTTCAAGGACTGTCGCTGGCTTGGGACAAAGGAGCAAGAAAGGTGTTAGTCGAAGTTGATAGCTCTAAGTATAGTGAAAATGGTAAATCAAAGGGAGCAACCAGTAGGTTTTCATAGTTGTCTTATTTTGGCCATTCGAGACCTTATAGATAGAGATTGTGTAGTTGTTATTGATCATGTATATAGGAAAGTCAATTTTACAACCGATTACATGGCATCTTTAGCGACAGTGAATTTAGGGGGTCTTCACAAGCTGAATTCGCCACCACTAAGTATTTTACCGTTGTTAACAAATGATGTAATAGGGGTGGCTCGCCCTCCGTAATGTTGTAGTCGCATAAGTATGCAATACAATCCTTAGTTTGAACAGGAAAAAAAAAAGAAAAAAAAAGGTACATGTTACTTGTTCGTTATCATTGCAAATTTATTTAAAAAAAAAACAACCCAAGAAGAGAGATTGGCTAAATATAAATTAGTACTACATTGCGGAGTAAGAGATATCATCTAAATCATTGCCCTTTTCTTTGATTAATCAATTTGTTCTTGGAGAATTAGTCATGTGAGAGTTCGGTTGATAAACAAACTAGAAGCCATTACTGAATAAAGTCGGCCCAGTACAATAGCCTATAACTCACGAGGTAAAACACTTTAGACGAAGTTCTGGATATGACAAACTCTTCGACAATTGTCAATAATTATTTAACGCCATTCATTCCCCAAAGAAGAACGAACAAAACTCTTGGTTAATGCTCCGCGAAAACTACGTACTTTTTTCCTGATGGCTGATATACAGTGGGGTTCAGATCGATCAGTCCGGCATAAAAGTACGAGAGAGTACGCAAGTATAGCAGAAATCTAATTTTTTTTTATGTAATTCGTTGAGGCTGAGATCCCGGGAAACGTTTTTTTTGAATAGTTTTTTTCTTTTTTCTATGCAAAATTTTGTACTGGCTACTTCAAAGGTTCACGTTCATACACCCACAGAATTCAACAAAGTGATAAGTGTGAAGAAGAGACGTCAGAGAAATATAATTTGAGGCGTAGCAAAGCTTCTTTCCCCCTTTCTTTTTATTTATATATAATCCTTCCCATCTCATAAAAATAATCTGTACTATTTTAATTTAGTGAAATGAACAATTTTTGTTGGATGGAATGAGTATAAACTGCTTAATTGTAATATTAAAGAGTACACTCTTAGTCCTCAAAAAAATAGTCCACATTAAGTTTTGAGACAGTACAAATCTAAGGAAAAAGAGATGACGCATTTGGCAGAAACAATAAAACGATCCACATGAATGTAGACTAGTTTCACATAATTGAAAAAAGAAATTCATCAAATCGAGACGCCCACATCGTTGGAAGTATAGATTACAGTAAGACACAACAAAATACATGAATCAATTAATCAACAAACATTTGGCGAATCTGAAACAAAAAAGAAGAGGACAGACTTCCCTTTCATTGGGTTTCTAAATGCTGCAGAAGCTTTAAGATGCTATCTTTTTCTACCTGTTTATAAAAGTGCACAGAAACTTGAGAAAGATTTCCAAAACAACTGGTTGAGGTAATTCAACAAACACTTGGCATGCAACAGTTGCATTTCCTTACACATCTGCCCTCCCCGGCATAATAACCTGAAGCAAAATGCCTTGAAAAAACCATTCTTCAACTATATCTTATCTTGCACAATGAATCAGAATTCAGAACAAAGGAACTTACACTTTTTCTTCCATCGCCAGAGTTAATGGGTCGAAGCCAGAGATGTGGGAGATGAAGGGGAAGACTATGAGTTCGTCGAGCTCTTTGTTGGTTTCCTCGAACAGGTTTCGAGTTCGAGCCTACTGTACAATGGATAAGAAAAGTCTGCACATGGATAAAAATTGTATCAAGCTTAGAATTAGTCTGAGTTCAAACTTGTATAGGAACAGATAAAATACTCCGTCTAAAACTGAGAATTCAAATAAGATACTATTTCCTCGTTCTAGGTGAATGCAAAACTTTTTAATCTGTCACACTTCTTTCTAATAAAATATTAAATATAACTTTTCTAATTTCATCGTTATCTCTATACTATTAATAATTAACATATATCAGTGACAACTATTTGTTTTTTATTCTAATTTCAAATTTTGTAAAGTTTCAAAACTTTTAATTAGGAGTGAAAAAAAATTATATATATATATAAAAGACACTTACAAATTAAAGTTCTAATCGTTGTTGTAATGGAGATAGTAACTATTTTGGAACCTAGAACATACTCTCTCTGTCTCCAAAAAAAATAGTGTACATTGAATTTTTAAATGATTCAATTTGTTTAATTAAGATAATTTAACAAATTAAAAGACGAAACTCAAAACTTATTTATCTGAGTTATGATCAATCGTATGTTTATTGGTTCATCTTTCAAACATAACTCGATCGATGTTTTGTTTATTCGATATATTTATAAACTTTTCGAGTCATTGTATTTTTTGTTTAGCTCTAACTTAAAGTCGTGTGTGAAGGGTATTAGATTCGATCCCTCATGGGTGAACGGTGAACGTGTTACACAAAGAGACTATTTAGAAATTAAAACTAACGTTATTTAAATAGTACACCATTTTCATCTTAGAGGAACGAGTACGTAAATAATTGTCGATATTGGACTTGGCAAGCACCAAAAAAGGGACAAACGTGCAAATTAAAAAAGTTGTACATTTTTAAACTAGACTATTTTTCTGGAACGGAGGGAGTACTATCTTTAAAACTATCGGTTTCGGACCACTGCATATATACAATATAATGTGATATTTGCCGACCTCAATCCCTACGGTTGAGAAATTTGTGTGGGTTATGATCATGTAACTAGTTTATGTCTTGCCGTTTTTGGTATTTCAATGAGCATTCTGCAAACCCTTCTTTTCAAAACTTCTTGAGAGTATAATCCAAGGCCAGTAACAATGGTGTAGGTTGGTGGATTCAAAAGCTGGGTGAAGGAAATGGAGGGTACATAAGGCCCATAATCAAAGGTCGGTAGTTAAAGTATATGGTGAAATAAAAAGAAAAAGAATGTGCACCAAAAGTCAGCACTACACAACATGGCTTTCTCTTTGAAGTAGAAGTTTAAGATAGATGGGCTTGTTTGGCCTAACATTTTGTTTTTGTTTTTGTTTTAGTTTTTGATTTGGTTTTGAAATGTGATTTAAAATGTGTTTTGAAAGAAAATTGAAAAAAATTATTTGGATAATATTTTAAATAAAATAATAATATTTTTAGATCACTATCGGACCATCTCTACTACCGGCGCCAGAATTTGGCCCGAATCTGGCCGGCCGCTCGCCGACCGACAGCGGTGGGCGGCCCGGCGGCGGACGGTGGCGGCGGAGGTGGTCCAGTGGTGGTGCAAAAAATAGTGTAAAAATAATGTTTGAAATAAATTTTAAAAAGTAAATTAAAAAGTTTATTGGATAGTATTGGGTTTTGTGTTTGAGAGGTATTTTAAGAGATAATGAGACAAAATGGCAAAATGAGACTTGGCCAAACAAGCCCTATAGCTTTTGAGTTTTGAGTTTTGACATTACACAATATTACATTTTAAAATGGGATTGTATAGAGTAGGCACGATTTGATACCCGAAGTTGAACACTTGATTTTTTTATTTTTGTTTTTTTTGAATACGAACACTTGAATTGACATATAATATTCAGGCGAGTGAGAGTGAGATACTATGTCGCGATAGAAGGGAGGATCAACAAGTATCTTGGGTATGTTTGTTTCGTTTTTTTAGTGTGTGTTTTTAGATATTTTTTGTATTGAGAATGTAAAAAGATGTATTGAAAATGTAAAAAAAAATGCTGAGATATAATAGTTATTATTAAAATAATTTAAAAAAACTATCCAAAAAACTAAACCCAAAACAAAATGTGCAGCCCACAGTTTTAAGATTGGTAAGATTGAGAGGATGGTAAGATTGAGACAAATGTAAGCGAAAGTATGTTTTAAGGTTATCAAATATGCCTTAATGGAAGCCCATTCGTGAAATAGAAAAGCCCCACCCCAAATTTCTCTCCCACATAAAATTACAAAATTCAAAAAGCAACTTGACTTCTCTTTCTAAGCAAATTCGCTGTGACTTCTCACTAGCTTCCTCCGGCATTCCACCCTCCGGTCCATTATGGACACGGAGATGACTGACCCCTCCCCGATGAACCATGAAAATGAAAAACCAACCACAAAAAAAGTTAAAAACAGAGACCAAACAACATCTATGGAAAACCCAGCAAACACTATAACCCAAACACAATTAGATCCAACCCAATCTTTGTCGTCGGAAGTGGATTTTTCGACTTCCACATTGCCTGGTTCACCCAAATTGATGAATGCAACAACTGAGGGCATCCCATCTTTCAAGGATAGACTCCTCCAAGGGCAATCTACCCAATTCTCCAATGGCTACCATATGACCACTGTCACATTGGAGGAAGGGGGTGTTTCCTACGGAGAGGAAGACGGAATTCCATCAACTGAGTTCTCACCTGGAGTCAAAAAACAAATGGAGATTGCCATGACTTACTCTATAGTGGTCAAACCTTTGGGCAGAGATTTCCGACGAGATCGTTTCCACAAAAGGCTAAAGGGCTTATGGAAAATCAAAGGCGAATTGAAGCCGGTTGACACCATCGACGGTTACCACCTTCTCACGCTT